TTTCTTTGAGAGCTTGTTGGGCGCGATACCAATAGTCTCGAATTCTTGCATTTCCGATCTCACGACAGATCTCAACTCTGTTTTCGTTCGCAGCACGTCGATGAACTCTGATATTGCCCGCAATTGATGATAATGGGGATTTTGAAGCTCCTTTTATAATACGTCGTGATTTTTTAATCGGAATTCTGTGTTTTTGCATCCTTTTGATCGTTTGTTTTGCAAGGTTCAGATCTTGAAGCGCCTGTTTACCTCCACGAATAGCACGTTTTACATGCTTTTGGAGTTTTGAAACGTCTGGTTCATCATTTTCGAGGATTGTTTCGAGTTTATCCTCAATTTTTGACCATCTGTGAGGTGTATTTGGTGGTGAATTCGTCTGTGAACTTGGGATTTCGGCTTCGGGGGAGGGCGTATGACCATAAATTTCAATCACTGGTTCATCTTCCCACCCAGGATCAATTTGATCAGGAACAAGTTTTGGATCCCAAGGCCAAATGCCAGTATCCGCAAATGCTGATTTGATAGTTTGCGATTTGAATGTGTCTTTGCGGACTGTTTTGATCATTCGAAAAAAATGCCGTTTATCATTGACATCGCCACCCCAGCGTTCAATCTCATTGTTCTTCCGCCGAAAACGCTGTTTAAGAACTGAGAATGGTTTACCGTCAAGAGGTTGACATCGATGTGTCATTTTTGGAATAAACCAATAAGGAATGATGTTAAAACTTTGACAGATATGCTCGAATTCCGGGGTTCCATGAGAACCATGATTGTCCATAAGTAGAACTCTAGGTCTACCTTTGGTAACTCGCTTTTTCGTGACGAAATGGAAGTCCAATAGCCATTGAATTGCAGTTGTATCGTCTGTCCAGCCTTTAGAAGTTGGTTTAATAACCCGGTAATTGGCTATATTATCGTCGTCTTCGAACCAGTCTTCCATATGCTCAGAACCGCGAATCAAGAACCAAGGATGCATAACCCAGCCATCAGCTGAAATACATTCAATGCCAGTAATATTCTGACCAATTCCACCGGTTCCAATAGTCTCATTTTGGCGGGTAGACACGACATTTTCCTTTGTTCCAATGCCTAGTTGAAAGCCAGTTTCATCCCAATTATATAATTCATTGGCTTGGATCTTATTCTTTTTGAGAAAATCACCAAAAACCTCATACCAATGAATTAATTCACCGTGAGATTCAGCCTCGATTCTCGCTTTTTCTATAGGTTTTTGGGTTCGGAGGGTAATATGGGGTGGTAAACGTTGGATAAATTGATATCCGTACATTTTACTAACCCGTCGGTCGGAACCGCAGTATTGTAAAATGCGATTTGCAGCATCCTCAATATCAAAAGCATTAGGTGGTGTATAGACCGAATTAAGGAGCTCGATCCAATGAATCAAAGACTTCTCTTGCGACTCATTTAATGCTTTATTGGTAGCTGCACGCCCTTTTTTACTCGGTCGGCCCTCATTTCGGTTTCGCAGCTTCCACTTTGACACGTTAAAATGGGAGGCTGCAGACTTGATACTCTTAAATTGACCAGAATTATAGGCTTCAAGGGCATTTGAGAGCAAGATCTCTTCTTTTTCGGTAGAAAACGGCATTGTTTTGGTGGAGAGAATTGGGTTTGAAATTGAATAGTTGAATTTTTTGTGTTTAGGCATTGGTTTGTGTTTAGGCATTGGCTCACTGACAGGAGGGGACCGACTGTCGGTGAGTGCTTAGTCACAATTATTGGGCTTCTACCTTAGGCCCATAGCCTACCAGTGGGCCTAATGCCAGGCCCAAAACCCGCCCCATTTATGGGCTGGGGCGGGTTGGGCTATGGGCTTTGTGGGCCGGTGCGGAGGTCTAGCCAAGACTGTGGAAGGACAATGTAAGCGCTACCATAAAGGTCGAAAATTCCCTGGCTAATATCATGCAGAGAAAATGGCCAATTCACTCAGATGCAGATGAAGGCTTTGATGTTCCATGTTTCGGCAACTCGGCCTGATATTATCAGTCTCTGCAGCAAATTAGAACATGCTGTCAGCTATTTTCTGGCACATAATCAGTTGCCAGCGCATCCCACGTTGGACGACGACGTTCGAAAAATGATAGGGATTCACAATTCAATGACAGCGATCGTAGATTAACAGGGATGGACAGATTAAAGATTGCGCCGTTTTCTTCAGATGAATATCCAAGTCCAATTTGGCCTGCGCTGTTTATGCGTTTGATTTTGCCTGGTCGAACTCTTTTCAGTTATCAGCAAATAGAACATGAATCAATAAGTCTCGCCTTACCGCGTTCGTGCAGTAGATCGTTTCACTCACTGCGCAGTATCCCAGGAAGGATGAGGAGCTCCGGACAAATCGGCCGTTCAAGGACGATGAGATTTTATGCTAAGAGGTTAATAAAAATTGCTGTGAAGAACCAGGTAGTCTTCATAGAAAGAATTTTCTTTCTGGGAATATGCCTCAACTTTGTATGCACCACCAAGAGTGGAGTTGAAACTATTGTGTATACCAACGAGAAGCAGACGGGAAAGGAGCTTCGATACGGTACGGAACCACCAATTGAAATTGGCAGTTCGGGCTGGATACTGTGCGCCCATTGGTCGGACACTTTGTTGGCGGTTCAGAATCGCGACTCTGGAAGAACTTGCCGAGCCGCGATTCCTGTTCGTACCAAACCGTACGATCTCCTTCTAGGACTTTCTATCGTCCGGGAAGGTGCGGTAACTTCCCCAAAGACGGAAGCAGTGTTTCTGGTATTTTACAATTAGCTGTATCGAAAGGCCAGAGATGAGGAACAGGAATGTGAAGTCGGACTCTAACCCAAAAGGACGTACAGATGGTATCAGCTACCGACAGGGTGCAACCAGCTAGCTAATATTTCTACGGACGTTACACTGTGCGTCCACCGGTGGAGCGCCCCCTTTCGCGGTTTAAAACAGCGACTTCGAAGAAAGCTATTTCGAACAGCCACCTGGCGAAGCTACTTTTTCATGCCACCAAAACACTACTTAAAGGAACAGGATATTCTTCGCCATCATACTTCCAAATGAGATTCAGACAATGAACTCCGCCTTTCAAGACATCCCACGTAGCTGCGTTACTCCGGGTAGCGCGTATCCTGAGGCGGGCCACAGTTTTCTGTCTGTGCTCCCGATCCCGAGACTGACCACGAGTTCCCTCCTTCCGTAGGGCCAAGCTCATCGTAGGGCAGTCCACGATTTCCCCCTCTCTCCAAGCCATCGCAGGTCGGGCAGTTTCTCCCGGTCGAACTCAATGTAGGACGGGCCCCATTTCCCCTCTCAAGACATGCAGCTTCACTACTCCGGATAGCGCGCATCCTAGGACGGGCCATGAAAACCATACGCTAGTCATACACGAATCTGGCGCCTCGCTATTCGGTAGCACAGGACCTAAGCGATTTCCAAAAGATTAGTTGGGAGGAGACAAAGCTGCTAAGAAAGGAGGTCGGTCACACCTACCGAAAGTAAATTTACACAATGCAGTCAAAGTGGAATTTCAGGTAAGCTGATAATGAGCGTCTCAATGAAGTGGCCGCCCTGTTTATCTTCCTGGATATCGACGACCTCTGCCTTCACCTGAAAACACTGCTTTTTCGAGAAGGAACCTGCCGTTTGGATAGCTTGGATGTTTTCATTAACTCTTCTCGATCGATGCAGTACAGCTACATTCAGATGCAACTTTGCCTGACTGGTATGCAGTGATGCCCAACGGCGAGACTAAGCTGCTAATGGCAAAAATCTCCGAAGAGTCAGCTGTCCAACTGGTTGCTCATGACCCATAGAGTCAAATCTGCGTTCGATGTGGAAGTTCTCCCGTTATTGTCCTCTGCGTCCTAAAAACATACATCAAGTATGATTTAGCAACCAAAACGAACTTACTTCAATTCGAAACCGTTCGAATTTCCTTTAGCGACCATGGAGTGCCTCGCTATGCCTATTGACCATCGACTGCGGCGACTAATTCGGGAAGTTCGGCCAATCGACACGAACGGAGAAGACTCTGACCACATTCGAACTCTCCATAAATTCGGAACTTCACTCAAAATCGAGACAACAGACTATCTCACACCAAGTGATTTGAGCTTCGGAATCGAAATGGCGCGACCTGAATCCAAGGGTGGTATGGTGGTTGTCTTACAGCAGCCCCATTCCTCACAAGATAACTCAAAAGGGTTTTTGGAGGGTAAACGTAATTGTTTGTCTGTGAAAGCAGTATCCGAACTAATTCACGCGACGAGCAATGCAAGGTTCGGCTTTGATGACATCAGCGTTTTTGACGCAATACCATTCCTAGACGAGGAGGTTGCCGAAAGGGGCATAATTGGAAAGGCACAGGACGTGTTCGTCGACATGATCAGAGCTAAACAGCCACAAATCATGATATCCTGCTTCTGGACAGAGACAGATAACAATACTGTCAAGAATCTACGCCGTCGCAAGATAGGGTCCTCCTTTGAATCGGACCCGCAGGGATTCAGGCAACCAGTTGCCTGAATCGGGGCTATTCCTTACTCGCGTAAATGCGCTCCATCCCAGCTACGCGATCAACTACTATCCAGAGTTCAGCTGCTTTAAGCGTCTACTTGTCTTGGAGTTTGTGAAGGCCTTTTCTCTGTGGCAGGGGCATTGGACCGATGAGAGCTGGATGGCCCAATTGAGACGTGAATGTCAGAAGCAAGCAGAGAAGCTCAGAGAAGGTATGCATACTACTCCGGTATTTTAATAGACTATTAACAAATCTTACCTTAGCTGAGGGCATTCACAATCCTTGGAAAGCACATTTTGTCAAAGGGCAATGGGAAGATCCTCTTGAAGCTTTGGAAGCAAGTTTTAAAGAGTGCTTTTTTGGTGAGCACGGCTTTAGCTTGGCCGAAATTGCTGCAAATCACTCTAATCTACTGGTGGAATCCAAGATCACGTGGCTATGTTGCGATATCGCATGGATCTTGGATAACCAGGATATTGTTGTCCTAGACATGTCGCGACAGCTACTCTTGCAGTTCGAAGGCTGGTGTCAAGAATCGTGGCCGGAAACAAAGCTTCAACGCAACTTTAGTGGTTCCAATGGGTACTATGATCATTCAGCACTATTGCTTTTGAAATCGAAACAGCAAGGCGCACGCGCAAGGAGGCTTGAGAACACTCTTTATGCCTTCTTACGTGATTTGAATCTGTCTTATAAGTGGTCCCAGCATCAGACAGAATCCAACAAAGAGGCTCAGCGGGATATCTTTCGAAGGTTTGCTACGGCTTTCAAAGGCATACTAGAGGAAGCCCACGAGAAGAGCACATCAAGGGAGCACGATATATGCGGTAAACTGAGTTCTCTGAACTTGAACCGGTGAATACTTCATCTCAGACAACCCATGTCGCAGACTGTAAAGAGTGATCTATGTACATGTGTCCTCGCTTTCATGTACCTTTCCTCATGGTTCGAATATGATTAACACGATCCTTCGTGTACAAAACTGTAGTCAGCGGGAAACACTTGGTCAACAAGGGCTGCACCACAAGAACTAGAGACCGACACCATCCAATTGACCCCGCCTGCATACAAATCAGGGATTATTGAATCGGGTGGTACGCAGGCGCTCCCAAGCACCTCAGAAGAAGAAAAATGTGTATCGGTTCCCGCCTTAACAATATCAACTTTGCAGTTTGCAGCAGCAAGTGTACAGATCGCTAGACCTGCTAATGTTGCAATAATCGGATGAGCCATGACCTAGAGGACAAAGTCAGAGAACCCCTTAGCAATGCGTTGGTTCTTAAATAACTGTACTATGGAGCTTCCGACCTCTTTTTTTAACGTCGCGTAAAATTGTCAGTCAAGCCTGTCGAAGCGTGAGTTGAAGAAGGTAGAGTATTGAATGAACAAAAGCCGAGAACGTACGAGCTGAAGTAGTTTATAAGTTAGACTGTCGAGAGGTGATGAAACGATATAATTTGAAAGAAGAGATGGTTGTGTGTATCGAGAATGGCCTGTAGGATGAGATGAAAAAGACTGTTGATTCTGTTGGACTATCTACAGATAATATATCAGATTTCTGGATGACTAATATGGTTTCACCAGTATAGCCACGTGGCATTTAACTTTTATTGTAAGGAGAGGAGGACAATAATTAATTGCGGTGTAAATTCCGGTTGCAGTTGTCAAGCACTACGCTTGGCCGAATATGGCAGGAGGGGTGTGTAAATAGCAATCTGCGGTGCGTAAATAGCACTACCATGATTTTAGGGGGCAGACTGTACCTCACAACCGCACACTATATGCAGATGTTTGTTTTAACAGACACTGGCAGCGGCGGAGGGGAGCGGTCCCTTACCCTAGGCAGGACGCCTGGAAAAAGAGCCTAGTCTGAGCATTCGATAGGATTCGGGCCTTCCTAGGTGAGAAGGCTGTGAGGCATGGGTGTTTGGGTTGCGTTGTCGCGGGATGAAGGTCGCGGGATGGTCCAGTCCAGTCTGGTTCTGACAGGTTTGATACCGTTTTGAATCGGTAAATCAATAGGTCACAGGGTCGCTGAAAAAGGTCGCTGTCAGGTTGATTCGGATTATTTTGAATTTTTTTATATTTTCATGGAAAATTCAAGTTACTCGATTAAAACCAGGCTTCCCATCCAGCGACCTCCACACAGCGACCTAATACAGTCAATAATCCGGAAAGCATAAGGAAAGTTTGCGGTATTATAGCGAACTCCCAATCTATCCCGAATGAAACTGGAGTGTAGGCCCTATAGTTGAAGCATCATCCTCTTATGGGTCTCTCTCAAGGACCATACGAAAAAGAATCTCCTGGAAGAAAACAACCCATCACCGACGGATCCTACAGTCCGAAACCTGCAAGATATCAGAGAGAAATACAGCAGAGTATGAGACGGTGTTTGTTGGTATCACCAGCTATGTACTGTGTACACAGTTAAGTGGACAGTGATGATGATGATGATGATGATGATATTTCTTATACCTAATGGAGCCTGCCTAAGCGTGCGGTAAGCTATGTAGGTCGGTGCACCCGGACTGGCACCACAAGAAACCTTCTTTTAACGCCGAATTCCCAATAGAAATGACCGGACGGTCTGTCCTAGTGCTTTAAAGCGACCGAGTGACCAATTGTTCAGTATGTTGTATTTTGTTCAATGCAATCCAGGGCGCCCTCCCGGAACTCAGATCGTACTTTGTTGAGCTTTGCAGAACTGTTACACCTTTTCTCAATCTAGCTACCACAGAGGGGACATCCTTCTTTCCTAGCGGCCCGAGTTAAACGGCTAGTACTTCGGAAGGTAAGCTGAAAGGCTAGACCGGTGACAGTTTTCCCCACCCGCCTTTTATTGCGTACCGCAGTAGCTACCCCTACCCTGGGTCTACCATCCAGGTCCTAGCCAAGTCAACCAAGGCGTAGGCTTTCTTCGGTAGGTGCCTCTAGGGTAAAAGTTGTGAAAGTGACAGGATTCGAACCCGCAGTCCCTACGTTCCGTGCTAGGACCCCAGCTAGCATTTTCGCGTAAGACCTAACCAGTGACGCACTACTGTTTACGCCACACACCCCCTAAGTGGACAGTGGTTAGGCTTCCAAAGCAAAAGTCAATTTGGGTCGTGTAAAATAGATGTTCCTCCTCGGTCAAGGCCCAATATCCCTGAATCCATACGGCGGGAGCCGTTGCTTAGCAAGATTACGTATAACCTGTCTTTGCTTATTCTGACGGGAGTACAGTGGTGTAACATTAGTATTTGACCTCGAGTACTTCGGGCCAGGACCCACTTTTTTAATACTGCCAGCAGAAACCTCCAAAATTGAATTCAATTTAATAGCTAGTATGCCACCCATTATACTTAATGACATCAGCTACCCTGTGAGGCATTGTCTCCGATAGATGCTTAAATAGATCAATATCTAAACTTTCCCATGCTTCCTGCGCAGCTTCTAGTAGCAATTCTAGCGTAGATACGTTATTAGGAAGCTGTGTTGTGATATGAGGCTGGTGCAGATCAGGAACCAAGCCGTACCATCGGAATTAATCCCGAGGTGTCTATACGAAGAAACAAGTTGATTTCCAATCAACTTGATCTACTCTTTGTGTATATATAGCCTCAGTTATTCCCTCTAGTTCAGTACAATTCAATCTTCCTTTGAACTACAACAAGATAAGACCCAGGGCCCAACGCGCCATCGCGTCTTCCCCTCCTCACCGCCTTCACACCATGAACAGCGGAGTGCCTCAACCTCTCGCTGTCTGCACGAAGCTGTCTCCTAATACAACTGTACAATTTTTTGTCACACGTGAGTTCGTCATGCGCCTTTGCCGTGTTGTGAACTTGTCGGTTCATCCAGCGCGGCTTCTCGAAGCGACAGCCGGAGAGTGTGACGAACCTGGATACAACATGGCATATTGGTGACTGCATCGCAGAACTGATTTGGCAGTGATCTAGTTGGTAAGCAGGTATGATCACGAATATTGTTGATTATCTGTCTCAAGCATACACTCGGATTCTTCACGAACGGTGTAAAGTACAACACCTTGTCCAACTGAATCAACACTTGCTGACTCGGGTCTCACCACAGGAAGACGCCGTCAGATTCCCATCACCCGAATGCAAAGCGAGCAAATCTCTTATCTGCTCGACCTCCCCTACATCAATACCATCTATGCTTTGTTTCTTCCACATGACTACTGGTGGCATCGACGAGTCGCTACCTCGACCTTCTCCCAGTCGATTTGGTTCATCAGATCATGCGTTGGTATGCCTACCTGATGCAGACCCAATGGAGCGCATAGCAGTGTCTGTCTCCCGGCATATGAACCCTCTCGTAGAATGGCCTACTTGCGGCTTGGATCCCTGGCGTCCAGTGGGTGACCATCGTTGTCCTCAGATGGCATCTAGCGTCTTTCGAGCCTGAAACCCCTAAGAAACCGGGAGACGCCAATGCTTTGTCTAGCTAGAGCCATATTTTCGTACTGGCGAGGTTGTTAGTCGGGACTGCTTGCATGGAGAAGGTGAGGCAAAAGTCCCGTCATTTCTACCCGAATCAACTAACAATAGCCAGTCAGCTTCAAATCGATGGACAAGACCGAGGATGGCCAAACGATTGAGAGGACCCATAACCCAAGAACTACGTCTGATAGAGTCATCTTGATTCCTCTTCCTCTCCGGGTTGCTGAGCTTTTGGACATGTACGGGCGAGCGGGAACCACTCGGACATACACGGAGCTGCATGCTATCAGGATTGTTTGCTTTTCCCTGTTAGACAGAAGCTTGGTGATTTCATTCCTAAGCCTGTGTTTTTCTATCCAAGCCCGAGCACTACGTGCAAAGCCCATACACCTTGGATGTCACAGGAGCTGGAGGTCAGTCAAGTTGTCCAGTATCCTTCGTCCATTGAGACCGTCGTCTAACATATCGCAATTGGAGGCGCAAGCAGGTCTTGCCAGCAAATCACCGATTCCTCTACGTCTCTGAGCTCACTGTTCTTTGACCATCTATGATGTATTTCTCCGCGCCCAAGACGATATCTGGCATATCACTGTTCGAGCAATTCACCGTGAAGGTGGGTTTGATGTCTGTAACAGAATCACAAGAGCCCTCGGGTTCTAGGACCTCTGAATATCCTGTACAGCCTATACTGAATTGTCTAGCCCAATAAGCGCTCATGTTATATTTGCTTGGGGAGCAGTTGGAGCGGATGTCTGCTAGGGTCACACGTGGGTTAGAACACCCCTGTACAGATATCACCAGGTCCTGAGCGGTGATCGTGGAGAGTGTCTTTACCGGTTCTGATCCCAGATAGCTCGTTGGACCCCGATCGGAATTAATCATGCTATATCAGCAGCGGCGCGTGATTTATCGCATGTAGTGGGGAATAAGCCTCACAGAAGGTAACGACCGTTTCTTCATCGCTGTAGTGGACTTCTACGAAAGACTGGTTCAATTTACTGGCGGGATATTATTCACAGAGTTGCGACGGCTCCTACATGTAGAAGGAGCGGATCAGATATTCCAGAGCCAAAGCTACCAATGACATGTTGACCTCGAGAGAACGAAACTCTCACTCTCGTGGTCGCTCTATGATGTAGGCATTCTAGTGTAGAATAGGTTCGAGTGACTAGCAATAGTCATTTCAAGCAATTTTTTCCGCGACGCAAGAAACCGAGCCTATCGCATAATCATCTTGGATTGAATCCGTGATTCGGATTTACGAAATACATCACATGGCTCTACACTTCCTAGTTCTGATCTTGAGTGTACAGTATGTTGCGTGATCAGAGTTGCACAATTCTTGAATTGGATCATCTCAATTGAGTTGGAGGCCGTAGTCAAGACGTGACCAACAGGGATCAAAATTGCTTTGCAGAATAAAAAAAAAAAAAGGAATTGAAATTTCTATGATGTGGGTGACATGGCAAGAAACCACGCTGCCTCCATGAGACGTTGACCACCCCTCCCTTCACCGCCCGACCATTCACAACAGTGATGTTTCGGTACACACATTTCACCACATCGACATCAACACTGAGCAACAACACACCAACACCAACATCAAACATCAACATCAAACATCAACATCAAACATTAACATCAAACATCAACATCAACATCAACATCAACACATCAACACATCAACGCATCAACGCATCAACGCATCAACGCATCAACGCATCAACGCATCAACGCATCAACGCATCAACGCATCAACACAACAACGCATCAACATATCAACACATCAACACATCAACACATCAATACATCAATACATCAATACATCAACGCGCATCACTACATCAAAACACAACACATCAAAACACAACACATCAAAACACAACACATCAAAACACAACACATCAACACTCTCACCAATTCTCACCAGCATGTTTGCCCTACGCCTGAATGAAGGGTGTCAATTTCACTACGTGAAAGGACTATCGGACCGCAAACCATCAGTGCAGAACATTTGGGAATCTCCCCTTTGATAAAAATGACACTTTTGTTGTTATTAACAGAAATTAGTGACCAACATTGTATGGGTTTTGGAACGGTAATATTAAACTCTCTCCCTAACTAAAAACTATGAACTTGACAATTTTGTAGGATATGCTGACAAAGAGTAATATGCACTTTTATGTGAGGTGTCTGATTTGATGTCGTAAGATATTCTGGGTAAATACCCAGAAATCCACACGCAGATCCACCATATTTCTGACAGTTATCGTATAATTTTGGCCATTGGATTTGGGACGATCTATCTAGGGCTCATTCTATCTATCCAATGATGATCCTTCGGAAAAAGAAACAGACTATGAGGAGGTTGGGCAGGTCTTTGCTTCTTCGAATACTGTTGAATATCGAATACTGGTCTCTAACACCACGAAGAGGTGCCTGCACATTGCTAGAGGGCTTGTTAACGCAGCAATCCCCTGCAAAGCACGTTTGTTGACGCAGAGCTCGTCCTGCGAAGCACATTTTTACACTCGCGGGGCTCAGGGCAGCGAGGGAGCACACTCTTACACTCGCGGGGCTCAGGGCAGCGAGGGAGAACATTTTTACACTCGCGGGGCTCAGGGCAGCGAGGGAGCACACTCTTACACTCGCGGGGCTCAGGGCAGCGAGGGAGCACATTTTTACACTCGCGGGGCTCAGGGCAACGAGGGAGCACACTCTTACACTCGCGGGGCTCAGGGCAACGAGGCAGCACATTTTTACACTCGCGGGGCTCAGGGCAACGAGGGAGCACATTTTTACACTCGCGGGGCTCAGGGCAGCGAGGGAGCACATTTTTACACTCGCGGGGCTCAGGGCAACGAGGGAGCACACTCTTACACTCGCGGGGCTCAGGGCAGCGAGGGAGCACATTTTTACAGTCACAGGGCTCATTGGCTGTGAGGGAGCACATTTTTACAGTCACAGGGCTCATTGGCTGTGAGGGAGCACATTTTTACATACACAGGGCTCATTGGCTGTGAGGGAGCACATTTTTACAGTCACAGGGCTCATTGGCTGTGAGGGAGCACATTTTTACATACACAGGGCTCATTGGCTGTGAGGGAGCACATTTTTACAGTCACAGGGCTCATTGGCTGTGAGGGAGCACATTTTTACATACACAGGGCTCATTGGCTGTGAGGGAGCACATTTTTACAGTCACAGGGCTCATTGGCTGTGAGGGAGCACATTTTTACAGTCACAGGGCTCATTGGCTGTGAGGGAGCGCAAATCTTACATCGCTGGGCTCGTGGCAGCGACAGCCGTGGTCACGGAAGGTCTGGAGTACTTGGTTTCGCAGAGCCCATCCTGCGGAGACTCTTGTTGTCGCAGATGTCCCTGCGAGGCGCTTTGTTGACGCAGGACCTAGGCTGCGGAGAACTTGGTAATGCAGCGGTCTCCTGCAGAGAACTTGTTAACGCAGCGGTCTCCTGCGGGTCTCACTTGTCATCACAGCGTCCCCCTGCGAGGTAGTCTTGTTGACGCAGCACCTCCCTGCGAGGATTATTGTTGACGCAGACCTATCCTGCGAAGCACACTTGTTGACGCAGAGCCCATCCTGCGAAGCACACTTGTTGACGCAGAGCCCATCCTGCGAGGCACACTTGATCACGCAGAGCCCATCCTGCGAGGCACACTTGATCACGCAGGGCCCATCCTGCGGAGACTCTTGGTGTCGCAGATGTCCCTGCGAGGCGCTTTGTTGACGCAGGACCTAGGCTGCGGAGAACTTGGTAATGCAGCGGTCTCCTGCAGAGAACTTCTTAACGCAGCGGTCTCCTGCGGGTCTCACTTGTCATCACAGCGCCCCCCTGCGAGGTAGTCTTGTTTTCGCAGCACCTCCCTGCGAGGATTATTGTTGACGCAGACCTATCCTGCGAGGTAGTCTTGTTTTCGCAGCACCTCCCTGCGAGGATTATTGTTAACGCAGACCTATCCTGCGAGGTAGTCTTGTTGACGCAGCACCTCCCTGCGAGGATTATTGTTAACGCAGACCTATCCTGCGAGGTAGTCTTGTTCACGCAGCACCTCCCTGCGAGGATTATTGTTAACGCAGACCTATCCTGCGAGGTAGTCTTGTTGACGCAGCACCTCCCTGCGAGGATTGTTGTTCACGCAGACCTATCCTGCGAAGCACCTTTTTACGCTCGCGGGGCTCATGGCAGCGAGGGAGCACAGTCTTACATCGCTGGGCTCATGGCAGCGACAGCCGTGGTCACGGAAGCTCTCAAGCCCGCAGGAAAGAGAGGGACACTATGATGCATCAAAGTGTGAGGACCAAAGTGTGAGGACCGAAGTCCTGAGTTTTTTGGGCTGGGAATCCGGCCCCTTTTATAATTTTTCGGTCAAGTCTCTACCATGGAACCATTGCGCCGAGGATAACGAGAATCACTGTCCTTTGGTTGGCGTTGAAGCAAGTCGAACGACGTTGAAATGGTGTTTGGAGGATTTGTGGCCTACAGACTCAAGTTTCGACCTGGGATCATTTTTCTCAAATCTTGCGTTTGAGTATGGCGAACCGCTTTCATCAACTGTTGAAAGAAAGCAACGCGGCAAAAATGTGATTCCTACATATTGTTGAGTTTGCAATTAAATCGCTCAACGCGGTGGCACCCTACATCTGCCCGTTTAGCCACGGTCACCGTCTGTTTCATGAGGGTTGATGTGCTTCAACAGATGCCAAAATAATAGGTTGGAAAATTTCTGGTTGACAGAAACGCTGGACTGTACCTGCGGTTGGCCGGAGGATCCTTTGGTCTCGCTCGAATCAATCCTGTTCATCCTTAGCCCCGCGCCGCTGAATGTTGTTTCTTCCCTGTCTACTCGCAGCCAGCTAATGTTGCTTTTACCAGAATCTCTACTCCCTTACCGCACAGATAATGACACACTCTCAAGCTCAAGATGAGGATTGTCCTTCTTTGGGAGGGCATAAACAAAAGTCCAGAGCTTATTGGAAAGTTTCCATAGGAAACCGAGCCTAGAACAACCATGTGAAATATGCAACCAGGCCCACGAGCTAGGTTCGCGTGATCGCCACCCCCTCGCAAGATTGCAACGCTACTATCACATTGATGAGACTCTGGATACAAATAGCGCCCGACGGACCAATCAAACACAATGCGCGAATTTAGACAGACGCAGGTACGGTTCTGCGATGCAGATCCCAGCGACGACCCACGGGACACTAGTCCAAGGAGGTTCTATTTATGGCCCGGAGAAGAAGTGGAGGATTTGCAAAGGTCCAGACCGATCTACAAGCCCAAACTTGACGGCCGTCAGTCTCGGATCGAAAAGGACTTTGTTGCTTAGGAGGTACGGCCGAGGTACGGTCCAGGCAGGTGAGGTATTTGGAATATCACGCGGAATTCTGGCAACAGAATGGTAGGCTAAATCCCGATCCGTGGTTATGCTTTCCTGGTTCCTGTCACAGGAGAATAATTCTCCTGTCAAGTGGCAAGTTGCTCCTTGTCTATCAGGTCTGTCGAACGTTCTAGAAGCTATGTCTTCTGTCCTGCATAAAGCTTCGCGTAAGAGAATGCTCTCGTTGAATCCGACACAACCCCATCATCGGCCCAGTTCAATCGTCAGTCCCATATCCGTAGCGGATAGCTTGTAGAAACTACGGGTTACAGTTGAGCCTGGTTCAAAAAGTAACGTGACCGACCCACCCGGACGGAAAATTGATATTCCGGATTTTGAACCAGGCTTAGCTTCCAGGTTCCCCCTGGTTCGGAAAATTCTGAGCCTCGCTCAGTCCACGTAAGCAAAATAGTAGAATTTGATTGGTTAACGCTCCCCACACTCATTCACGCTAGATAAGTAGTTCATGTATAGCCTTAATTTACGACACCTACGTTCATGAACATATTTTCAACATATTTATAACATATTCTGAACACATGTTTTGTAGAATTGAATAACAAAGGAAGGAGCACCGCGGTTTCTTCTACGATCGCACTTTATTTCAACCAACTACTGAATGAATGTCGCTCACGTACATGTCAACAAAGCACGTTGTATATATATAAACAAAGCACTCATGCACTGTCTACTCCCTCTCTCTTCTTCTTCCAACCACCATCTCTTAACTTCTTCATCTACCCTCCTCCTCTCTTTATTAACTTCTTTTGCTCCGCTTCTTGTGTTTTGCAGCTCTCAATACAGCTGATCACACTAGCTTCGCCGTCTTTCCAGGTCAAAAATTCCACGCGCCTACTTTGAGGCAACTGGGGTCAATACGGCGGCAAACCCAGTGCCATTATTTGGCTACGTCCATGGTATGTTGATTCTTGGATATGCAAAACATATGTTGACCAGATGCAGAGCCAGTTATTGACCCGAATCCCAACCGGAAAGCCTGCCACATGGCATACACAACACGCTGCTGGTAACCTCCGCTACGCTATCACCGCAGCCGATCTTGAGAACGCGGCTGGCCAGCCTCCAAATCCGCGTCTACGGCTGTCGAAAATCAATACCCTGGTTTGCCCTGTCGTCGAAAATCCCCCGGTTCACCAGTGCGGACAGACGTTTGAGAGCCAGCCTGGTTTCCGTCGGCATCTCCGCCAGGTTCATTCTGGATGCTGTGAGTACATCTGGGTTACATATGTAAAAGATATGCTAACTCGATAGTCGTGAACCATAACATGGAGCGCCTTGCGTATGAATCTTGCACTCCTATGAATGATCTATTACTAACGTAGTTGTTTACAAATAGTCGGGATGAGGACGACTTCCGGAACGCGTATGGAGAGCGTTTCCATCGACTCCAGCAACCGGTTACTCCTACTAGTGGTGGCCGTAGTCGACGCGTAAGTATTTAGTGTTCTGTGAATATTATAAACATATGCTTATCATATGCAGCGTGGGCAAAACCCTCCTCCGAACCCGATTCCATTTGTGTTACAAGGTCATGATAATGGTAATCACAACAACAATGGCGGTAATAGAGATAGTGATGGCGATGGCGATGGAGATGGATCTGTATCTAGTAGCTCAGCGGCATTTTCGACAGGGCGTCCTTAGATCGATCTTTTAGGTTTTGAATATGTTTAACATGATCTATCAAAGCTGTTTTAATAACTCCTCCTTTTGCCGCTTAAGATCTTGCAATCGTTTCCGCGCTTGAAGTTCCGCAATCTCCTGTTGTAACTTGATCTCTTCTTGATAAAGGTTATCAAGATGAGATGTTTGAGGCTGTGTAGGTTGAACTGAGTATGAACAAGATTGAATAGAGCGTGAGCGAGATATTCGTGAACGCGAATGACTAATAGATGACTGAGTCTCAAATTGCGAATCAGCAACTGATATTGAATCAGAATTGATGTCGGAATCTAGGCGTGGAGGTGGGCCCATAGGAGGTGTAGAAGGCTCAATTGAATCATATGGATTTCCGGGCTTCCAAGGTCGCCATGGCTTTTTTTGACGAGATACTGCACTAGCACGATTGCGTACTTCCTTTCGACGGTATTGTTTACTGATGCGTGAGATACTGTCAGAAGCTCTCCAGGTTGCATTTTGGCCAGTTTCAGCAAATCGGTTGTTCTTTTCAACCATCTCAAAAACATGTTGTTTTGTTCTGGGAGTCATATATTAGCCACATGTTTGACATATGTTTAACATATGTTAAAGAAACTCACTTCAAGACAGCTGTAAGTAGCGATTGTTTCCGACCAATTGCCTCATTATCTACAAAATGACTGCTTTCGCAGATTCCTGTATGATGAGGTGCCGCAATCCACCAATCAATCGGGATCTTGGAGGCTTCACACGTGATCCCTGCTAAAATCCATGACGCTCGCTTATTCTTGAACCAATTCGCTGTTTCAGGGAATTCTTCTGATGCTTTATCCATACAGCGAATAACCTCGTCTTTTGAAGTGCTCTGAAAGATCATAGTGATTACACCAAAGGCAGGATGCCTTGGAAATTTCTTGAAAAACGCGCGTTTAACATGTACCTCGCAAAAGAGAAGCACTCGTTCCAGATGCTCATGCCAGTTCCAGCGTGGGTCACGAGATGCAAGATAATCGCCAAGTCCTTTAATGATAACATATGGTTAACATATGTATTGCATATCAAGAGAATCTTGTACATACCAGGTGCTTGTTTTTTGCACATATCTAATGTAACTGTGCGAATCCCCTCTGCATCATCGTCACCACCAAGTTGATATGCCCAAGATACTGGCTTCCGGCCAACATCACCCAAGACTTTGAAAAGCCTTTCGAAAAGTGTTGCATATGCACGACGTGTATCCAAATTCATGAATGCATAGGCGTAAGTGTTAATCCGATTACCTTCCTCATTCCATGAAGCAATAGTAAAGACATTTGTTTTACCAGCTACCATCTTGAATGCAAGATCCATTTCAATATAACGCACTGATTGGAATAGCTTAGCCTGTGCATATGTACAACAGATGACCAGAAAGTGCTGGCGTTGTTCATCAAAGAAATAGACATCACGAATCCATTGTTCATCGACCTCCTTTGCTTGATCAAAGAGAAACTCGCGATAGACCCCCGCAATATCTGTCCCCTTAGGGTAGTGGAGAAGTCTTTGTTTGCGGATAAGCGCTGTAATTCGATCTTCTACATGTAAAGTATCATGGATCTGTCGTAATGCGGATGTTGAACGTTGCTTGACTAATGCACTGAATTTTGGAGAAAACATCAAAGACCGAGCGGTTAATCCTAGGATATCATGCTTTAGAATAACATCTGTAATCTCTGCGGCGATTGAATGCGGCATCTTTGATGGTGGCGGTGGGAAGTGTGAATGACTGCCACGACATACTAGCAAAACAAATGGGAAGCGATGCCAGGAGTATGGGATAAAGAGATCAAATCTGACTGAGCATTCCCTTTTGACCAGAGTTCCAATATTATTTTGGTGTATTGAATCTATTTTTTGCATAAGTATTGCATATGCAAAACATATCAAAACATAAGACGTCGAAACGCGACTTACCACAGAACTTTCCAGTCTTCCGACGATTTGCTACAAAGTAACAATTCTTGTTCTGATATTGATTCGTCGGAATACCAGATCTCTCAACCAGAAGCTTCATGAAGTCCATACTGATGTTATGGCTATGTTCAAGTGTCTGTACATAATGCCAATCCGCGTTTTGGTGATAAGATGGACATCCAATTCTCCACATCTAACCGCGTCAATATCATAACAACATGTCAATATTATAACAAAGATCACTTACACTACCATCCTGCCATATACAGGGGTGCTGATCTTTACATGTTGTTGCTCCAGTATAATACATACATGGGCCATCGATATTCCATGTACGCATGAAACCTAGATAACGCTCTCGGGTTCGCTGCTCAACCTCTTGCCGAGTTGTTGCATAGACAGGCTTTGCCATCTTTTTGCGTACATCGATAAAGATCTTAGGATTAACCGCATCGTATTGATCACATGAGGTCAAAATTTCAGGATGTGCTTGTTCACAGTGTTGAATTCCAGAGCACCGATATGAACGATGCCAAACTCGAGAATCCGGATCTTTAGGCTTCTTGGAAAGAAGCTTCAAGAAGTTTTGCCTTGCTCTGCCAGTAGCTTCAATTGAGAATTGAACCTAGGATATTGTTAACATATGCATTACATATGACCTGCATAAGTAATACTTACATTTGACATAAGATCTGTGATTGAATTATGTAAAAGAGTCGGATTCTTCTGATCTTCTGGCAAAGGCGTTTTCGCAAGATGAATGATATGAAGAATACCATCTTGAGATGTGGCAGGATACTCCGGAACAGTAAGATGTTCTCGCAATGTTTCCGCTTTCACGGAAGCCCGACTGCTTGTGCTAATAATAGCACTGCTATCTTTGAAATCAGTTTCTTTGAGGCCCATGATTTGTCTAACAGATGGAAGATGTGGCGGTTGAGCTTCGTTGAATGCATCCTCAGATATATCCTCAGATTGATCATCGGATTGATCCTCAACGCTTTCTGCACAGTCCTCATATATTGAGCCTGTTTCATCATTATCCTATCCTTCAGGTTAGTATATATTATACATATGTTATACATATCATACTTGGGGAATATCATAAGCCATTGATACAAACTCATCTTGTATAGCACGGCTTGTACTAGTAACAGCCATTGCTGTCCTCCGGCTTTCCCATATATCTGCTCGATACCTCGGCAGACCCGGATCCATGGTACTAGTTGATTCGAAGGTTCAAGTTGTAGTATGAAGGTTGTAGTAGGCCGAATTAGGGGGAAGAACATGGATAAATAATATTTATTCACGCTAGCGTACACTAACCTTTAGCGTGCCTGGTTCAAAAATTTTGAACCTCGCTTAGGTTTGGACCTCCGCCTGGTTCAAAAAAGTATTCAAAAAAGTGGGTCGGTCACGTTACTTTTTGAACCAGGCTCAACTGGGTGCCCTAGAAACTATGCCAATCATGGTTACCTCAGTTACCTCAGCCGCCCCCAAAAAGGCGGTGAATTTGGCCATCCACCGCCTGCTGTTTCCAGCGATGCTGACACACCTTTTTTGGGGAACGTCTGAGCTGGGAATTTGGTGGTACCATACAAGTTTCCGGGGTTTTTGCCCGTGTTTATATGGCGAAGTTTCCAGGCGCGTCTTTCAATATTTCCAAGTTTCTCGCGCACCCACGCGAATATTAAGAATCGGGCGACGATGTCTTCTGCATCTTTCTGAGCTGAACCCATTGACACCAAAATTGTATGTATAACTGGAAAGGTGGGTGAGAAATATGTCCTTAAAATACCCGAAGGAACCCTTTCTTAAGCTGTCAAAGCCATTATATGCCCCAAGTATTCCGCCAAAACCTCCATGAAGCATATATTGACATATTTTAATGTATAGTGGCTACATCTGATCCACAATATTAACTCTATCGCGTGAGAATTGACTCCAAACCCGCCTCACGATGCCAGATCGACGCCCATCACGACGGAAGCCTCCTCGGAAATATAACGCGAAACTGAACGACCCCGGAAATGGACAGACACAGTTGGATAACTGGTTGGCCTCTGAGAATAATCGACCTTCTTCAAAGGCTGGAGAGCCTATTGAATTGGGAGTGGAGTACGAGAATGAGGGCGCAACTGTCTTGCTGGAGAAACAACAAGTTGAGAAGAATTCAGTTCTTCAAGCGCAGAAACTGATTCGCGATGCGTCTGAGAAGCGTAAGGATGAACAGGACCAAGCCATCAGACAAGCAATTCGAGAGCTGTATCCCTATTATCCACGTGCGGGTCAGTTGCAAGCATTGAGACAATTGATCTACCTGAGAAAGGACCTTATCCTGATTGCGAAGACGTCATTTGGGAAGAGTATGATATTGCAAGCAGTGTCACTCTTGCTTGATAAGTCTATCACCCTTGTTGTGCTTCCATTGAATCAAATTGGCGTTGAGCAGACCAATTACATCGAGAACATTGGAGGGCGACCTTGTTTCCTAAACAGGGAAACATTCTCATCCGAACTTCTTGACAGGGTACAAGCGGGCAAGTTCACACATGTCCTCGTGAGTCCAGAGCTTGCAATCAGTGACAAGTTCCGTTCAACTGCTATGCATCCAGGTTTCCGAGACCGGCTGGCTCTGGTTGTTGTAGACGAAGCTCATCTTGTGGCTCAATGGGGCAAAGATTTTCGAACGGACTATGCGCGATTGCATCAATTGCGAAGTCTATTCGGCAGTGGCGTCCCCTGGTTTGCATGCTCTGCTACGCTTGATATGAATACATTGCGCGTTGTTATTGAGGGACTTGGGTTTCCAAAGGATGTTGAAATCTTGCGGACATCCGTCAATCGTCCAGAGTTGCTCATTCAAACAGCTTGGATCCCACAAGGCGCGCATAAGAAGGCAACGGCCTTGCGTTTCCTGTTTGACAATGGTCCTTGTCAGCCCATTTTACGACCGTCACGAATCCCAAAGACATTGGTATTCTTTGACTCGAAGAATGATGCATATACTGCCATGGAAAATTGTCGGTATTGGCTGCAGCATAACAAGCAAC